GTGCATATTCACGCACAGACTCCCTCCCTTCAGAGCGAAATGAGAGTCTGCACCTTTCTTCCTTACCATCTCCACACAGTGGCCAAAGAGGAATGGGCAGAACCAGGTTCCCCAGTTCTGATTTGTTGGATATCTCTGAGCGAGTGTTACTCAGGGGCCAAAGCTCTCTGCCTGGCACTAAGTAAGTAGACGACACCCCTGGTGCTGTGGGCAGAGCAGAAAGGATGACCATAGGACCTGCTTTGTCAGTAGTGTGCTGTTTTATCTGCAGCATCCACCCAGAAGATTGATGGAGAAGTGAGCCTAAAGTCTACTTGTTTTCAATGGCGACAGGCATCTTTCATTCACTCCTGCAAAGATTCATGGGTGGTGTCTGGTCACACACTGCAGACTGACAGAATCTAGGCATCAAGACAGAACATCATGAGTGGAGAGGGAAGTCCTGAGATCAGGGCTGTGCCTGTGCATCTGTCACAGGAAGACATATCTTGTGGCTTACCATGCTTGCTGGTAAAATATTTTCAAAATCTACAATCACTTCATTAGTAAGAAAAATAGCATAAATAAGTATAAGTACCTTTTCTCAGTCAGGGGATCATGTGCCTTAGCGTAAAGCTGATTAGTTTCATAACTATTACCTCTTTATCTCTTCATCTTCTTGGTGATTAAAAGATAGGAATGACTACTTTGAGAGGCTTTATTGTCGACTATTTCTGTTGTGAAGTTATACATGCTCATTGCCAAAAATAAATCAGACAATTCAAAAGGCACAAAAAAGTAAAAGATCACAGTCTTGCCATTGAATTTTGAGTCTCAAATATTTCAACATATAGTTTAACATTTGTTGCAAGAAAAATGAGCATACTGTTTTGTAACCTTTTATCAAGATATTTTTAACATCTTACAATGCTGGAACATCTAGAACTACTTTGACCTTTAAAAAATAATTCTTCCTTAGTTTCCATTACATGGAGGTACTTAATTTTATTTAACCAATTCCTTATTGATGGACATTTAAATTGTTTAACTTTTTTTGTAATGAACAACCCATTTACACATCTCGCATCAATTGTTTGATCATCTCCTTAGGAGGTTTCCTCATCTGTAAAATGGTTTTACCAGTAACCCAGGTTTTAGTAAGGCTTGAAACAGTTCATCCCAAAGAGTATTTTATAAGCTACTTCGAAATCATCACCATCATCATCATCATCATCATTCCTAGACTGTGGGTTAAAGGACTTTGGCACCTTTAAACTTCTTTAACTATAGTTAAATTTCCTTTCAGGAAGGTTTTCAGGGAATAGGAATTACTTTCTACTTTCCCATGGATCTGTGGCATAGAGAGATTCAGTGGCTTGGTGAAGATAATTCAGTTACTCACCGAGGAGCCTACATATCATACGTCTGTTTAAAACCGTTACCGAGATGTCTTCTAGAGAGACCCACCTAGACTCCATCTAGGTCTACTGCTTTATAGGCAAGCTATGGAAGAAGGGCCTATAATTCCTGAACTGAAGACCACTCTTTTCATTCCTTCCTTGAATTGGAGAGTGGTGTTTGCAACTTGAGATAGAGGCAATCTGCCCCTCCAGTACACAAGCTCTAGATTTTCTTTATTTGATCTGTATTTTTCTGCTCGTGATTCCTTCCCACCACAACTTTAACCAACTCAGTGATATCGACCAGCAGTCGGGGGTATAAGGACCTGTTGTCTTAAAACAATTTTTCAAGCTAGAAATGGTTCTCTTTATGTCCCTTCCAGGCCTGGGATTTAGCAGCGCTCTAGACAGTTTCATTTTCCTCCTTGACCTACATGTAGTTCGTGCCAGGCCCTCCCAGATTACCACTAGGTGTCAGACTTTGCCGTCGCTCCTCTGCTGTGCTGTTTACCCAGGAAGTTACTCATTTGCTCAAAGTCATTAGTTCTTATCTAAGAGGGCTTCTTTGGCATCACACGAACATGGTCCTTATGATGCAGACTCCCAGCATATTTCATCAAGACTTATTAAGTCAGTCTCTTAGTTACAAGCCTTTCAACAGAGCTCTTCACTGTAAAGCTGAGTGCTTAAGGGAGAGGTGAGAGAAAAATCATTGGCTTTTCACCATCCTCAAGGAAAACGCTGAATGCCACTATCTTTCACTGCATAGATGTGGGTACCTTGCTGATAGAGTGCTGGTGTAGACAGCTCAGACCACCAGCCCTCATCCATCTTAATGAAGTATCAAAGCAATCAACAGCAGATCCTGACTCTTGTATAACAACAATGTATTTATTCAATTGCCAGGCATATAGGGCACTGAACTAAAGTGCAGAAAAGAGCATTTTCATTCAACCAGTCATTCAGTTATTCAAGTAGTTGTTGAATACCTCTTAGGTATTAGGGACCCAGTGGCAAAGAATATGACCTGGAGTTAATACATCAGCAGTACAGTTTGTGTACTAACAAGACTACATTGACTCTGTAGTCAATTTCAAGCTGTTTCTGTCAGGGGAGGGGATGGATCCATGGTCAAGTCTCTCAGCCAAAGTGGCTTCCCCCTGGCAACCCATGTCATCTTCCCAGAGAGCCTTACAGCTATAGTTTCAGTTCTTCCTCACTTCCTTCTGTCCCTCCTGACAACTTCCTGAGAGAGGGAGACAAATTAAACCTTCATTTCAGGCATGGGAGATCAAGACAGAGAAAATTGAAAGAGGTTTTCTCAAATGACATGATTAGATGTTGAACCAGCATCCTGGGCTCCATGGGCTGCAGCATAGGGAACCCCATAAAAATGATCAGCAACCCAGACACAGATAATAGTATTAAGTACAGTGCCTTGCAGGGAGAAGCTACTTAATATTAGAAGACTGATGAATAAGAACAGAGATCTTCATTTTGTGGAATAGTTTCCATGAAACAGCCTCTTTCCTCTAGAGCCTCTGAGGGGGAAACCCTCATCCTGGAGATATCTTCTTACCTTTCTTTCCTGGAGAAAGAGGTAGCATTCCTTAACAGCCTGGGAAAATGAGTCTGTCGTGATTTCCCACAACATATGTCCAACCTTTGCAGAATTGCTCAGACCAAAACACAGCTAGGTCCCTTTGGCTGATTCATTTAGCTCTATTTTAATTTGCCCAAGAAAATCACCAGTGTATCTTCCCAAATAACTGTTATTTTGAACTTTGCTTAACACTTCCAGGACGTTTAAAAAATAATAATGTCTCTATAAGACATGACTATAAAATAATGAGCAATGCATTCTCCATCTTCCTCTTCATAAACATACACTTTTCCTAAATAAAACAGAATTGTTCTTCATTCTCGGCACTTTACTTCGAATTTCTAAAGTATTATTTCTAAAGCAAACAAATACATTAACAGCAACAAGAACAATAAAACAAACTTGCAGTATGTTCATAGTTGGTGAGCCTCCAAGCTTCCTTTTCAATTTACATTGCCAGACTCCCAAACAATGCCACTCTAGAACCTTCTCTCCCTCCCTCAGAAATGCTTAGATGTGACGGCATTGATTCCCCCATGCACCCAATGCCAGGCAGCACCACACCCACCAGTCTTGCATCCCAGCTGCTGCTTCCTCAGGTCAGTTAAGCTGTCACCACATATGTCATCTAAAAAAAAAATGACCCAGGCAGTTCAGCTCTTGAGTTGCCATTCCACTGCTATGGAGATAATTTCTGAGTAAGTCCTCAGCAACCATACTAGCTTCAGTTGAAAAACAAAGCATGGGCCTTTCCTTTAGAACTAGGCTAAAGAACCAACTTCAGAAGGCACAAGTAGTGGAGAGTCTTAAAGTCAAATACTGAAAAACGTGAGCACTGAGCCATAACCCTTAGTTTCGCAGCTAAAAGTTAGATATTGCAGTAAGAATTGGAGCAGGTCTGGAGATAGGAACTTGCATCCTAGCTTGGGACATTAAGCTAGACAAGCAATAGGAGTTTCCAGAACATTCTCCTCTCCAGGACCTCCATCTTCTGTGTCTTCCCCACTTATTACAAAGCTGAGTGGCAGAGTATGACTCTCCTGGAAGTATTTATTGCTAGGCTTATCTTATTGGCTCTCTTCTAGGGACCTTATATTAAATCAAAACTTGAGCATTTCATCACAATTAAAGAAATGAATTTCTGCGGACATCTCCTTAATTGCCACTGGTTGTTTATGGAGAGTTCCCCAGGTATTTGGGGAAGTGTATGAATTCATTCTGGTTTCAACAAACATTTACATAACTTTGCTCAGTACAGCTCTGTACTCAGAGCCATAGGGAATGAAAAGAAGTGTGGTCCGTGGAGAGACTACAGCCTCGCCCAGACTGCATCGCACTTTTATCACACTACAATTCAAAACAATGGCCAAGTCTGACCAATTAGGTGATAGAGAACATGTGAAGTGTGTGTGTGTGTGTGTGTGTGTGTGTGTGTCTGTGTGCATGCATATATATATATGCAGAAGAAGTCTGGAAGTCAACACAGCAGCATATTCTACTGAGATAATGTTATCTTTGGGGTTCAACATGGAATAATTTTTATTTTCTTTATGTTTCAGTTTTTTTATTTTTCACTGACTATGTAATGCTTGCATACGGTATAAAGCCCATGTTAAAAAAAAAGTAAAAGAATTTGACACATACATTCAACTATTAAAAAAAGCTGAAATCCTACCATTTGCAACAACATGGATGAATCTGGCTGGGATTGTGCAAAATAAAATAGTTCTGGCGGAGAGAGATAAACATGTGATTTCATTCATATTTGGAAGATGAAGGATCAAAACTAATGAACAAAGAAAACCTCTGAGACTATAAGAACAAACTAGCTGTTTCCAGAAGGAAAGGGATGGTGAGTAAATCAGGTGAAAGGGGTCAGTTGTCAGGTGAGGGATGGAAACTAGATTTCTGGGGGCGAACATACAGATGTTGATTCATCATGCAGCACACCGGGGAACTATATAAAACTATAAACCAGTGTGGCTTCACTAAAAATTTCTTTTTTTATTTTCATAAAGGAAAAAGAAAAGCCCAAAGAATTTGGATGAGAGAGCGCTTTCTTAGAGCTGGCTTCGTGGAAAGGGACCCACGAACTCAGCCTTAAAAGACAGGACTTCAGAAGGTGGACGAAGAGATGGGCAACTGGGTAAGTGTGGACTGGGAAAGTATAATTTGTATTTGGAAATTGCAAATATCTCTATTTGATGGTTCTCTGAGCTATAAGTGGGCTGTAAATGGACATGAATCTAGAAAGGGAAGTTGGGAATCTGGGGGGAAGACAAATGCCAGGTGTGGTGCTGGCATTTGGATTTGAGTCAGCAGTCACCAGGGGTCACTAAAGTTTCTCTAACAGGGGAGCAAGGCAGTGCACCCGGTGGTGGGCCAGGCAGGTGTTCAGGCTGGCTATGCAGAGAGCAGACACTGGAGGCAGGGAGGCCACTGAGGAGGTTCTCTTAAGCCCCTCAGAACCCAGGTGATGGAGGCTGCAGTTGAATAGTGCTTGAGGGAATGGAGAGAGAGGAGCAGGCAGGATTGTACACCAGGAAAGGCTTGTTTCAGCAGAAGGCCCTTACATACAAGCTCAAAGCAGAGAAAAGAGAAACGTAATTTCAACAGATGATGTGTAACTATATTAACGAGGCCCACTTTGCGATGTAGTTATAGAACAGTCCTTATGGTTCAGGCTCATGTAAAACATGAATAGGATTCGATTATTGTCAGGCTGCACTACGGGAAGACGTGCCCAGGAGTGGGAGAGCCAAACTGCTTGGCACCCATCCCGAGAACATCCAGAGGAGAAAGGGCACCTTGGCTCTAAGTTCTCAAGGGAATGTCCTCATCTGGTGGCAGCGCAAGGTTCTCTACCCGGGGAAGGTCACTTTGCCCTCGAATGACTGGACAGTTCTACATGCTGGACCGTGTGATGCCCCGAGCACATTCAGCAGATGGTGCAGGGGGCAGGAGGGGCTTTTTGGAAAACACACCGTTATTTCAGTAATTTGATATTAATGGTTCTGATGAAGTATCTACAAGCTGGACTTTATACCCGTCACAACTCAAAGGTGCAGGCAAGTTGTGCTCCCCTTGCTGGCGGGAGGCACATCCTTTCTGTAGCCTCCTTAAGAGGTTAGAGCCTATTTATTCCAGTGGGCTAGTGGCTAAAACTAATATTCCTGAGCTTGTCAGAAATCATCACATCAGGTGCACATCATTTTGTGTTGAATCCGCCCTAGTTTCCCTTTGCCTTCTGTCACAATTTCAATATTATTTTCCCCCTTTACTTTGTAATATGGCCCTGAAACTTGGGGCATTTTCTATTCACCCCAGTCCTTCGATCATCAGTTATCACTCACCCTTTTTTTTAAAGATTTATTTATTTATGCATACAAGAACTGGGGTACAGGCCAGAGGAGTGGGGGATGAGAGGATTCACCAGAGACAGAGTGGGGAACAGAACAGGCAGACTGACCAAAGTACACTGCTGAGGGGAGCAGCGGGTGAGCCAGGAAAGGGCTGATGCGCCATGTGGGTAGCTTGCTAGGCGGGGATCGAACTTGTGCTGCAATGTCTGCGGAAGCTTCATAGGCTGTGTCTTAACCCCTTGCACCCCCAGGGAGGCCCAGTTATCACTCACCTTAACAGATGCTGAGACTGTTGAGCTTGGTGGCTGCCCCAATAATGACCCTTTTAATAGTCATTTCCAGACAATGATCCATCACGACTATATTCGCAACCCCATGTGGAAGTGAGAGTCCGTGTAGAGCCACTTGGTTGATACGCTGTCTTGATGACGTACATACAGCAACTTGTTTATGAGCCAGGACCAAAGCCTGACTCTACCTTTACTCAGGGACAGCAGGAAGTGGGGTGCAGCGTGCACCCTCTGCCCCATACACATGCTGGCGGCACCTGGAGCTGAACAGTAAGATGTGCTTGTTCACTGTGCAGCCCGGAGAAGGATTTAGAAATGTAAACCTATTCTGGATTTTCTGGATAAATCCAGTTGACCCTTGTAGAACCTGAGTTTGAACTGCATGGGTCCCCTTGTGTGTAGATGATTTGCAATGAATACAGTCCAGGGCTGTCAATGTATCTTCCCTTCCTGACAATTTTCTTAATAGTATTCTATTCTCTCTGACTTATTTTATTATATGAATATATAAGATACATGTAACATACAAGATATGTGTTAATCGGCCAAGTTACTGGTAAGGTTATGGTCAGCAGCAGCCTCCTGGTAGTTCAGATTTCGAGGGAGTTATACTCAGATTTTCACTGCGTGGGGAGTCAGTACCACCAACTGTTGATTGTTCAAGTGTGAATTATACTGGAGCACAAGCCCTCAGCAAGGGCATCAGCCTGATGGAGCTAGATGTGGCTATGTGGGATTTTTTGCCTACTAGTTTGAAAGAACGGATCTTTTTTTTTTTTTTTTTTTTTACAGTGCTTTGAGGGAAATAAGAGGGTTGTTAACATTTTCTCTATGTGTAGTCTTACCTTTTGGGAGTGGAGCATCTTAGCAATGCACTAAACTTGAAGTCTGTCTATCTTTGAAGTTACTGATTTGCTTGGAGAGAACGTTTCTGTTGTTAATTCAGCTTCTTCACGAGGCCTGTCCATCTGTGCCCTGGCTCGGTGGCTTGTACTCCTTAGTTGAGCCTGGAGAAAGGGGTACCCTTTTCATTGTTGCTTTTAGTTTATAGGCGTTTGAGTTAAACTGCAGAGAAGGTGGAAAAGGTGGTGTCCACCCAAACAGCTCAATTCAGACTCTGGCAACTGACCATCATTTTTGTTCAAATCAACAGTGAGTGAAATGTGTTCAGCAACATGAATTAATTCCTACCTTAAAACTTGGCCAGCACGAGGATGTGGAGAAAAAGGAACTCTCCTGCACTGTTGGTGGCAGTGCAAACTGGTCCAACCACTATGGAGAGCTGTGTGGAGATTTCTGGACCTACTAAACATAGAGCTTCCATAGGATCCAGCAATTCCACTCCTAAGTATTTACCCAAAGGACACAGAAACATCAATTCCAAAGAGCACCTGCACCCCTATGTTTATAGCAGCACTGTTTACAATAGCTAAGCTTTGGAAACAGCCCAAATGCCCAAAAATAGATGACTGGATCAAGAAGATGTGGTCCATATACACCATGGAATATTACTCAGCATTCAAAAAAGATAAACTCATGCAATTTGCAGCAACATGGATGGTGCTGGAAGGGATCATGCTCGGTGAAATAAGCCAGAAAGAAAAAGAAAAATACCGGATGGTCTCACTCATAGCAGGAATCTAGAAAACTTAAGTAAGGGGCCAGGAAAATGAGTAACTATAAGAAAGAAAAAATCAAAATCAACAAACAACTATGAACTAGAGACACTCTAAGGGGGGTGAGGGGGCAGGGAGGGGAGGGTTTGGAGTCAAAATAAGGGGGTTGTAATTTAATGGGGAATATAAAAAATAAAATTTAAATAAAATGTGAAAAAAAATAAAAAAATAAAATAAAAGTAAAATAAAACGTGGCCAGCACCTTCTCACCCTCCTCGTTTCCCTGAGTATAAAAACCAGCTCTAAACTTGGAAAGTTTGTCCTTTCTAAGGACTGTGCTCTTTATAAGTGGGTGAAAGAAGAGACGTGTGCAAACCTACACATGTTTCCTCACAACCAAACTGTTTCTATGGCTCGAGAGGCACAGAGCCTGTGAACAGACGTGCCCTTGCTGCCTCCAGCCATCTCTGCCCTGTCCAGCTGCCAGGGCTGTTCAGACAGACTGAAAAGTACATGGTGTTTCCTGCCCTCAGCCCTTCCTGGTGACCATGCTGTCCCTTGTCTTTCAGAACAAAACCCTGCTATTCCTCAGGCAGGAACCCCCAGAACGGGGAGTGTAGGCAGTTCTCACTGGTAGGTCACTGAATGGACCTATGTACATCTGCCCTTTCACGTAGAGTGTTTAGCCATTTGGTCCAGTCTGCCCAGAAACAGCCAAAACAGAATAGGCTTCCTGGAAACTTACCCAGGTGGTCTTCCTGGAAGAGGAAAACTGTGTTGGGAAAGGGTTAAAAAGGTACAGAAATGGGGTGCACCAAGCTCATCTGCCAGAAACACTGAACAGGTTGATCAGATGGCTTTTTGCCAAAAGAATGTCCATTGTTTGCCAATAAACATGTTTTGTAGGTGTATGAACAGCTTCTGGGAAAGAACCAAGCATTGTGAAACTGAACCTAGATTGCTAAAGTGCCGAAATCGCCTTTCATTTGAATGACCAAGCAGTTCTTAGTCAATAATGTGTATAAATGACAAATATCATGATTTTAAGGGCACTAGGAAGATGACCCTATCTCCAAAATAACCCAAACCCTCTTCCCCCACCTCCCATGTTGTCAAAGACCCCCTACAATTCCAGCATTAGAAGCTTCCAATTCTTCCATTAGTTCTAGGCTGCACCTTTAGCAGGTAAGTAGCCTTAAAAGTGATGCTTCCTTGGGCCTCCCTGGTGGTGCAGGCAGTTGAGCGCTGCACTGTGAAGCTGTCCGCAGCCTCTGCAGTGCGGGTTCGATCCCAGCCGGCCAGGGAGCTACCCACATGGCGCAGCAGACCTCTCCTGTCGCGCCTGCTGCTCCCCTCAGCAGTGTATTACAGTCGTCTGCTGTTCTGTTCCCCACTCTGTCTCTGGTGAATCCTCTCACCCTCCCGCACATCTGGCCTGTATCCCAGTTCTTGTATAAATAAATAAATCTTTAAAAAAAACAAAGTGATGCCTCCTTAACTCCTAATATATTGCTGTTAGTGACCTTGTAGTTTGTTTTCAGCCCTAGAGCCTAGAGAACGCTGGGTCTTCAGTAGAGGGAGACGGTTAGGGTGATCTGGGGGGAAGGAAGGTAATAGGGGGCAAAGACACCCAAAAGGGAATTGGGGGTAGCCTTCTCCACTCCTGTAGGGTGCTCTCATACTATGCTAGAAATGAATCTGCAAAAAAGGACTAAAAAACAATTGTACAGGGAATATAACCAAGATGAAAATGCATACATTGTGCAAAAATGAAAAATGATGTAAAAAAATTTTTTTAATATAAAATTAAATTAAATTTAAAAAAAGACTAAAAAAATTCCCCTTTGTGAGTGAACACAGTCTTATTTTCACATCAAGCCTTCAGGTATTTGATTATGATCATTTCTCTAAATGTCTACAGATCATTATTAGAAGAAGAATAAAACGTGAAGAATGGGTGTTAAGTGATACCTAGACCATATTTGTGTTTGTGTGTGTATGTGTGTGACTCCATGTGTGTATTTGCCTTCCCTACTCTTCCTGAAATTAATTGGGACCGGGCTTTGCAGTCGTTAGTTTACTATAAATAAAAATGCTAAGCAATGTGAGTTACTTACCCGACTCTTCACCATAAATGTCCTAAGTGAAAAATGACCCCTGTTTGACACCTGGGCTATTTTAAAAGCTACCCGTACAAATTCCTCAGGCCTGCTAATCTGTAAAGGCTAAAATGTCCTTGCTTCTAGGCTTTGTGGGACTCTCCTGACAGGGAAAGTCGGTGTCAGGGAATAATGAGGTTCTCTTTGAGAGGGGGGAGGGAAATGTCAAGGGCTTATTATTTCTGGTCACCTTGTTAGACATTTATATTGAAATGCTGCAGAAAAATAACACAGACATGCAGAATAGTCAAGCCAATGATAATAGCTGCGTTGGTTAAGGAGGAAATAATTTATTTCAAAGGACTGCTGATTAATTTTGTTAGAGCATGGACCCTAAGTAAAGCAAAATATTCCAGATTAGTCTCTCATAGGGGACCGAACAAAAGATTCTTATTTTATAAACAAATTAGCTGTTATCTGACACAGGTGAACATGGTCATGGATGGTGGACCTTATCCCACCCCTTGATAGAATGTTATAGATCTTGCGCTTGTCCTCCTGCCCCTTTCTCCACCCTGACAAAGATCCAAATATGTAGGCCGCTAAGAAGAGGTTCAGTGCAGATGTGATTTGGTTGGAATGAAAACTAGTTTATAATTCATGGTCCCCTAGAAAAGAAGATGATGCTTGAGGGAAACCATTATTTCTGCCCCTGACAAGTACAGAATAATCAAATACTCCCAAATCCAAATCTTAAAGTGATCGGCTCTTAGATAAATTAAATGTAGATTAATAAAATGGTGACATTTTTATTTTATGTGGAGGGTACCATCGTAGGAGGGTGGGGAGAGCAAAATCTCTAAGAAACCTGAGCAAAACAAGAAACCTGAAGCAAAGCTTTCTACGAATGATGATGCAGGACTCAACCCCGCATGGTAACGTGCCAAAGACGTACCTGATCAGCTGGCAGGTTAGAAGACATGAGACTGTGTTCTCTGTTTCATCACACTGCTGCCACTGGGAAAGGGATGGAGACATGAAATTATAACATATTGAGACATCGCTTTGCAGGCTTTATTGCCTTCCTTCCTACGTCGTAGTTGTATATATTGTAGACAAAGAATTTTACTAATGCTCCCCCCACCCCTGCCAATTATCCTTTGTGTAGCTGATTAGCTGATGAGAATTATAGCTCCTGATTTGTACTCAGAGACATCGAGAAACCAAGAGGTTAAATGATATGCTAAGGTCACCAGCAGCAGAGTTGAATTTAGAAACGACAGCTTCTTGATTCTCTGGGCACTCAGCCAGCCTGCCTCTCCTCACTTTAGTGTGACTGTCAGATTCCTTTATTTGAATCAGTTTTTCGTTTGGGTTTCTGTCTGTGTGCAAAGTGTGCATGGACTGTGTATCTCAGCCTCATTGCTGAAAGCCACAGCTTGCTATTTCTAGCTGACAATTCCTTCCTCCCCTGAAACATGGCCCTATTGGGCCCCAAGCCTGGCTCCAGAAGCTGGTCCCAGGTGCTGTGGGGTGTGTGTGTGTGTGTGTGTGGCTATGTGTGTGAGTATGTGTGTGTGTGCGGGCGTCCTCATGGTCTGTCCCTGCATCAAGCTAATCTTGAGAGTCTGAGTGGGTCCAGGACCCCATGAGGGTAGCATCTTTATACTCGATCCTATACCAGGGGCCAAAATCACGCAACTCGGATCAGATTCATGTCCCCTGGCTCCTTCAGGCTGCCTTGACCTTGTCCCCTGTAGAGGCCCCACAGGGAGGCTTCAAAGAGGAGCCTCTGACTGACAAGGAATCAACATATCACCCCCTGCCTTTGAGCCTACTCAGCAAAATGTGCCTTCCCAGGTGGCACAAAAGATATAACCCTTCATACACAGTGACTCATCTGTAATCACTAGCCAAATGGGAATTTGAGCAAAACCCATTTTAGAAAACCAAAGTGTGTGAAATTGGAGGTCAGCCTGGGGCAGAAACTATTCAGGTCAGTTTGAGGATTGGGGTCAAAACCTAAACGTGCATTTTGTCCCTCCAAGTTTTTCCAAAAGCATCTGCTGCTCTCTCACCATCGTCACGCCTTTGCTTTACCTTTTCTCTACTGCCCTTTTCAGCCACCATTTTAATTATCTGCCTCGTGGCTTTTCATTTCTGCAGCCCAGTGTCACTCAAGTCCTCCTCCTTCCCCTGTCTCCCGAGCCAAGGCCAAAGGTTGTTTAAGGTCCCCAGAAATTAACCTTAGTCTCCCACAAGGTGAACCGTTGCTTTCTGATGAAACCTCACACTCCCAATGAGTTTGTGAAAATATTGCACATAAAAATAGCTTAATGCTTGCTGTGTGAGACTCGAGAGTTTTTGTATACTCAGCCCCAAACTGTTCCCTCTGCTTTTTCTTCTTGCTTACAAGATACAATCAATCATTTCTGGATCTTTCCGAAGAATTCCTTTAGGTGATATTCTCAGTGCTGCTTTTTTTTTTTTTGAACAATGTCTCATGAGACTCCTAACAGTTATGTTTAGAACAATTACCAACAACTAAAGACTGGCTCTTTCCTTGTT